CCTCTGCCCCACCCATCCCCCCGCCCCCTTAACCTCTGCCCCCCCCCCCCCCCCCCCCACCCCCCCCATCCCCCACCCACCCCATCGAAGACCTGTAAAGAAAAACATTTCGTATTTTATTTTCTATTTTTCCAATGGGAATAATATTTAAAATAAATAAATAAGCTAACATATGTGTAGAATATATTTAATATGAATCTTATATTGAACAAGATGATGCCTATAGATCCAGTATGTCGATACAGTATATTGGTGTTTTATTGTCTGTGTACCACGGTTAGCTAGCTAGCTTTACTAGACAGTGGTTAAAACCGTTACCTTGCTGAAAGCACCTGCACCCCAAATGGCTCCCGTTTTCCTGTATAGTCCAATACTTTTGACCATGGCCCATAGAACCTGCGATAGGCTAGCGTCCTGTCCAGGGGGTGTGCTGGTACATCAAGCTGCCTCACTACAGAAACAGGAGATAGGCTAGCGTCCTGTCCAGGGGGTGTGCTGGTACATCAAGCTGCCTCACTACAGAAACAGGAGATAGGCTCCTGCCCAGCATAAAGGGATAGATTGGGGGTAAGGCCTTGCTGTATACTAGCGTCCTGTTTAGGGGGTGTGCTGGTACATCAAGCTGCCTCGCACTCCTGCCCTATAGGCTTTTCTGGCTCAGACAAGGCTACTTACTGACGCTAACGGGCCCTGGTCCAAAGTAGTGCACTATTTGGGGAAACAGGGTACCATTTGTGACGAAGACAACTTACTGTAGTTTAAGCAGCAGAACAGAACCATCCTCCTAATCATTGACATAACTATTGGAAACATGTTTTTACTTCTCATTTTATTTTCTGTTATATTTTTTATTATAATTTTTTTTTTTTTTAACTGTTCATAGTTTAATAGAATCCTTAATTTTTTTTGCTTTCTTACAGCACTAGGTCTTAAAGATGCGTCCCAAAATGGCACCCTATTCCCTATATGTATTGCACTCATTTTGACCAGGACCCATAGGGCTCTGGTCAAAAGTAGTGCGCTATGTAGGAAATAGGGTGCCATTTTGGGACGTAGCCAAAGAGTATAGTTTCTCTTGCTCAGTGATCAGGGTTTCAAGCTGTACAGTGATAATATTAAAAAGCATTTTCAAACTGATTGTAAATTACACTAAACTAATGCTTCTCCTCTCTGCCCCTCTTCCAAACTTCAAATGGAATAAATACATCTGTAAACTAAATAAAGATTATTGAAGTGCATCCAGTTTGATTGATTTTATTTTATTTTATCATCGAAAGTACAAGGCTTCTCCAGCCGGAGACAACGGGTACATCACAGGTGGTTTGGCGGCACCTTCATTGGGGAGGACGGGCTCGTGGTAATGACTGGAGCGGAATCGGTGGAATGGTATCAAACACATGGTCTCCAGGTGTGTGATGCCATTCCATTTGCTCCGTTCCGGACATTATTATGAGCCGTCCTCTCCTCAGCAGCCTCCACATACATACAACATGATGGAGGACGATGACACAATGAAGCCCAAAGGCTTATTTAGACTGTGGTCCTCCTTAGACAGTGAGATGGCGGGTGGGCAAGATTGACATATCATAATCAATGCAATTTAAAAACAAGCAAGAGCATCCTAAACTATAACAGCAGAACAAAGGTCCCTGTTTAAGGGTCACCTCGAGAAATGTCTCAGGTATTTTGTAAGAGACACCTTAAAGCTATTCTCTGAAGACAGTTTTCAGGTAGCTTGGTAAGTCATAGAACTGCAGCAGAGTACAGGAAAGAGCTCTTTAATCTACTCTAATTGATCAGTTCAGTGACTGCCTAAATATAACACATCTGGTCTTCCAGGTTGGTAAATCAAAAACATGAAGCGCCTGCGGCACTCCAGGACCAGCTTCCCCTGATCTACTGAGTCGAAAGCCTTTTGGAGATCTACAGTTGAAGTCGGAGGTTTACATACACTTAGGTTGGAGTCATTCAAACTCGTTTTTCAACCACTCCACTAATTTATTGTTAACAAACTATAATATGCCATTTAGCAGACGCTTCCAGTCATGTGTTCATACATTTTTTTACATATGGGTGGTCCCGGGGATCAAACCCACTACCCTGGCATTACAAGCGCCGTGCTCTACCAATTGAGCTACAGAGGACCATAGTGGTAGAGCACGGCGCTTGTAACGCCAGGGTAGTGGGTTCGATCCCCGGGACCACCCATACGTAAAAATGTATGCACACATGACTGTAAGTCGCTTTGGATAAAAGCGTCTGCTAAATGGCATATTATTATTATTATTATTATTATAGTTTGGGCAAGTCGGTTAGGACGTCTACTTTGTGCATGACACAAGTAATTTTGCCAACAATTGTTTACAGACAGATTATTTCACTTATAATTCACTGTATCACAATTCCAGTGGGTCAGAAGTTTACATACACTAAGTTGACTGTGCCTTTAAACAGCTTGGAAAGTTCCAGAAAATGATGTCATGGCTTTAGAAGCTTCTGATAGGCTAATTGACATCATTTGAGTCAATTGGAGGTGTACCTGTGGATGTATTTCAAGGCCTACCTTCAAACTCAATGCCTCTTTGCTTGACATCATGGGAAAATCAAAAGAAATCAGAAAAACAATTGTAGATCTCCACAAGTCTGGATCGTCCTTGGGAGCAATTTCCAAACGCCTGACGGTACCACGTTCATCTGTACAAACAATAGTATGCAAGTATAAACACCATGGGACCATGCAACCGTCATACCACTCAGGAAGGAGACGCGTTCTGTCTCCTAGAGATGAACGTACTTTGGTGCGAAAAGTGCAAATCAATCCCAGAACAACAGCAAAGGACCTTCTGAAGATGCTGGAGGAAACAGGTACAAAAGTATCTATATCCACAGTAAAACGAGTCCTATATCGACATAACCTGAAAGGCCGTTCAGCAAGGAAGACGCCACTGCTCCAAAACTGCCATAAAAAAGCCAGACTACGGTTTGCAACTGCACATGGGGACAAAGATGGTACTTTTTGGAGAAATGTCCTCTGGTCTGATGAAACAAAAATAGAACTGTTTGGCCATAATGACCATCGTTATGTTTGGAGGAAAAAGGGGAGCGCTTGCAAGCCGAAGAACACCATCCCAACAGTGAAGCACTGGGGTGGCAGCATCATGCTGTGGGGGTGCTTTGCTGCAGGAGGGACTGGTGCACTTCACAAAATAGATGGCATCATGAGGAAGGAAAATTATGTGGATATATTGAAGCAACATCTCAAGACATCAGTCAGGAAGTTAAAGATTGGTCGCAAATGGGTCTTCCAAATGGACAATGACCCCAAGCATACTTCCAAAGTTGTGACAAAATGGCTTAAGGACAACAAAGTCAAGGTATTGGAGTGGCCATCACAAAGCCCTGACCTCAATCCTATAGAAAATGTGTGGGCAGAACTGAAAAAGGCCTACAAATCTGACTCAGTTACACCAGCTCTGTCAGGAGGAATGGGCCAAACTTGACCCAACTTATTGTGGGAAGCTTGTGGAAGGCTACCCGAAACGTTTGACCCAAGTTAAACAATTTAAAGGCAATGCTACCAAATACTAATTGAGTGTATGTAAACTTCTGATCCACTGGGAATGTGATAAAATAAATAAAAGCTTAAATAAATCATTCTCTCTACTTTAATTCTGACATTTCATATTCTTAAAATAAAGTGGTGATCCTAACTGACCTAAGACAGGGAATTTTTACTAGGATTAAATGTCAGGAATTGTGAAAAACTGAGTTTAAATGTATTTGGCTAAAGTGTATGTAAACTTCCGATTTCAACTGTAGCATATCCATTTCACAGAACCATCCCCCATCCACCGCTCTCATGATGTAGTCAGTTAGGTAGAGTAGGTGTCTGTGGAATGAGTGACTTGTGTGATCATTACTCCTTACACAGTAAGGACATTGTGCCTTGTTACTTGTCCCTGTAGTAGACACACACACACACACACACACACGCTCACACACACACACACACACACACGCCCACGCTCACACACACAACACACACACACACACACAACACAACAACACACACACGCTCACACACACACACACAACACACACACAACACACACACACACACACACACACACGCTCACACACACACACACACACACACACACACACGCTCACACACACACACACACACACCCACGCTCACACACACACACACACACACACACACACACACACACACACACACACACACACACACACACACACACACACACACAGGTTCACACAAACACACATACACACACACACAGGCTCAAACACACACACACACAGGCTCACACACACGCACACACACACACACACAGGCTCACACACACACACACACGCACACGCACACACGCATGCATGCACACACACAGAGACACATACACACACAGCCCTCTGTTCTCCTATAGTGCCACTTGTGGAGCAGACAGACACAGAGACATAGAGAAGTTTTAGATTCCAGAAACTGGACTACTGGACTCTGTTTTAGAACCATAACACTGGCCTAATGTACTCTGTTTTAGAACCCAAACACTGACCTAATGTACTCTGTTTTAGAACCCAAACACTGGCCTAATGTACTCTGTTTAAGAACCCAAACACTGGCCTAATGTACTCTGTTTTATAAACCAAACTATAGCCTAATGTATTCTGTTTTAGAGCCCAAACACTGGCCTAATGTACTCTGTTTAAGAACCCAAACACTGGCCGAATGTACTCTGTTTTAGAGCCCAAACACTGGCCTAATGTACTCTGTTTTAGAACCCAAACACTGACATTATGTACTCTGTTTTAGATCCCAAACACTGGCCTAATGTACTCTGTTTTAGAACTCATACACTGGCCTAATGTACTCTGTTTTAGAGCCCAAACACTGGCCTAATGTACTCTGTTTAAGAACCCAAACACTGGCCTAATGTACTCTGTTTTAGAGCCCAAACACTGGCCTAATGTACTCTGTTTTAGAGCCCAAACACTGGCCTAATGTACTCTGTTTAAGAACCCAAACACTGGCCTAATGTACTCTGTTTTAGAGCCCAAACACTGGCCTAATGTACTCTGTTTTAGAACCCGAACACTGGCCTTATGTACTCTGTTTAAGAACCCAAACACTGGCCTAATGTACTCTGTTTTATAAACCAAACTATAGCCTAATATATTCTGTTTTAGATAACATACTGTCCTCCCTGTCATAACACACTGTCCTCCCTGTCATAACACACTGTCAAATCAAATCAAATTGTATTTGCCACATGCGCCGAATACAACAGGTGTAGACATTACCATGAAATGCTTACTTACAGCCCTTAACCAACAATGCATTTATTTCTTAATAAAAAAGTAAAATAAAACAACAACAACAAAAAAGTGTTGAGAAAAAAAGAGCAGAAGTAAAATAAAATAACAGTAGGGAGGCTATATAAAGGGGGGTACCGGTGCAGAGTCAATGTGCGGGGGCACCGGCTATGCATAAATAATAAACAGAGTAGCAGCAGCGTAAAAAGATGGGGTGGGGGTGGGGGGGGGGCAGTGCAAATAGTTAGGGTAGCCATGATTAGCTGTTCAGGAGTCTTATGGCTTGGAGGTAGAAGCTGTTGAGAATCCTTTTGGACCTAGACTTGGCGCTCCGGTACCGCTTGCCGTGCGAAAGCAGAGAGAACAGTCTATGACTAGGGTGGCTGGAGTCTTTGACAATTTTGAGGGCCTTCCTCTGACACCGCCTGGTATAGAGGTCCTGGATGGCAGGAAGCTTGGCCCCAGTGATGTACTGGGCCGTTTGCACTACCCTCTGTAGTGCCTTGCGGTAGGAGGCCGAGCAGTTACCATACCAGGCAGTGATGCAAGCAGTCAGGATGCTCTCGATGGTGCAGCTGTAGAACTTTTTGAGGATCTGAGGACCCATGCCAAATCTTTTCAGTCTCCTGATGGGGAATAGGCTTTGTCGTGCTTTGTCGGTGATCAGGCCTACCACTGTTGTGTCGTCGGCAAACTTAATGATGGTGTTGGAGTCGTGCCTGGCCATGCAGTCATGGGTGAACAGGGAGTACAGGAGGGGACTGAGCATGAACCCCTGAGGGGCCCCCGTGTTGAGGATCAGTGTGGCAGATGTGTTGTTACCTACCCTTACGACCTGGGGGCGGCCCGTCAGGAAGTCCAGGATCCAGTTGCAGAGGGAGGTGTTTAGTCCCAGGATCCTTAGCTTAGTGATGAGCTTTGAGGGCACTATGGTGTTGAACGCTGAGCTGTAGTCAATGAATAGCATTCTCACGTAGGTGTTCCTCTTGTCCAGGTGGGAAAGGGCAGTGTGGAGTGCAATAGAGATTGCATCATCTGTGGATCTGTTAGGGCGGTATGCAAATTGGAGTGGGTCTAGGGTTTCTGGGATAATGGTGTTGATGTGAGCCATGACCAGCCATTCAAAGCACTTCATGGCTACAGACGTCAGTGCTACGGGTCGGTAGTCATTTAGGCAGGTTATCTTAGAGTCCTTGGGCACGGGGACTATGGTGGTCTGCTTGAAACATGTTGGTATTACAGACTCAGTCAGCGACATGTTGAAAATGTCGGTGAAGACACTTGCCAGTTGGTCAGCACATGCTCGGAGTACACGTCCTGGTAATCCGTCTGGCCCTCCGACCTGCTAAAAAGTATTACTCACATCGGCTATGGAGAACATGCATGCTTCAGTGTTGCTTGCCTCAAAGCGAGCATAGAAGTGGTTTAGCTCGTCTGGTAGGCTTGTGTCACTGGGCAGCTCGCGGCTGTGCTTCCCTTTGTAGTCTGTAATAGTTTTCAAGCCCTGCCACATCCGACGAGCGTCAGAGCCGGTGTAGTACAATTCAATCTTATTCCTGTATCTGACTCTTTGCCTGTTTGATGGTTCGTCGGAGGGCATAGCGCGATTTCTTATAATCGTCCGGGTTAGAGTCCCGCTCCTTGAAAGCGGCAGCTCTACACTTTAGCTCAGTGCTGATGTTGCCTGTAATCCATTGCTTCTGGTTGGGGTATGTACGTACAGTCACTGTGGGGACGACATCATCGATGCACTTATTGATGAAGCCAGTGACTGATGTGGTGTACTCCTCAATGCTGTCTGAAGAATCCCGGAACATGTTCCAGTCTGTGCTAGCAAAACAGTCCTGTAGCTTAGCATCTGCGTCATCTGACCACTTTTTTATTAACCGAGTCACTGGTGCTTCCTGCTTTAGTTTTTGCTTATAAGCAGGAATCAGGAGGATAGAGTTATGGTCAGATTTGCCAAATGGAGGGCGACGGAGAGCTATGTATGTGTCTCTGTGTGTGGAGTAAAGGTGGTCTAGAGTTTTTTTCCTCTGGTTGCACATTTAACATGCTGGTAGAAATTAGGTAGAACGGATTTAAGTTTCCCTACATTAAAGTCCCCGGCCACTAGGAGCGCTGCCTCTGGATGAGCGTTTTCCTGTTTAGTTATGGCCTTATACAGCTCATTGAGTGCAATCTTAATGCCAGCATTGGTTTGTGGTGGTAAATAGACAGCTACGAAAAATATAGATGAAAACTCTCTTGGTAAATAGTGTGGTCTACAGCTTATCATGAGATACTCTACCTCAGGCGAGCAAAACCTCGAGACTTCCTTAGTATTGGATTTTGTGCACCAGCTGTTGTTTACAAATATACACAGACCGCCACCCCTTGTCTTAACGGAGTCAGCCGTTCTATCCTGCCGATGTAGCGTATAGCCCGCTAGCTGTATGTTGTCCATGTCGTCGTTCAGCCACGACTTGGTGAAACATAAGATATTACAGTTTTTAATGCCCCGTTGGTAGGATAAGCGTAATCGTGGGTCATCTAATTTATTTTCCAATGATTGAAGATTGGCTAATAGGATTGATGGAAGAGGCAGTTTACTCGCTCGCCGTCGGATCCTTACGAGGCACCCCGACCTACGTCCACGATATCTCCATCTCTTTCTCCTGCGAATGACGGGGATTTGGGCCTTGTCGGGTGTCTGTAAGATATCCTTCGCGGCCGCCTCGTTGAATAAATAATCTTCGTCCAATACGAGGTGAGTAATCGCTGTCCTGATATCCAGAAGCTCTTTTTGGTTATAAGAGACGATGGCAGAAACATTATGTACAGAATAAATTACAAATAACGCAAAAAAACACACATAATAGTACAATTGGTTAGAGGGCTGTAAAACGGCAGCCATCTTCTCCGGCGCCATCATCTCCCTGTCATAACACACTGTCCTCCCTGTCATAACACACTGTCCTCCCTGTCATAACACACTGTCCTCCCTGTCATAACACACTGTCCTCCCTGTCATAACACACTGTCCTCCCTGTCATAACACACTGTCCTCCCTGTCATAACACACTGTCCTCCCTGTCATAACACACTGTCCTCCCTGTCATAACACACTGTCCTCCCTGTCATAACACACGGTCCTCCCTGTCATAACACACGGTCCTCCCTGTCATAACACACGGTCCTCCCTGTCATAACACACTGTCCTCCCTGTCATAACACACTGTCCTCCCTGTCATAACACACTGTCCTCCCTGTCATAACACACTGGTCCTCCCTGTCATAACACACGGTCCTCCCTGTCATAACACACGGTCCTCCCTGTCATAACACACGGTCCTCCCTGTCATAACACACGGTCCTCCCTGTCATAACACACGGTCCTCCCTGTCATAACACACGGTCCTCCCTGTCATAACACACGGTCCTCCCTGTCATAACACACGGTCCTCCCTGTCATAACACACGGTCCTCCCTGTCATAACACACGGTCCTCCCTGTCATAAACACACGGTCCTCCCTGTCATAACACACTGTCCTCCTGTCATAACACACTGTCCTCCCTGTCATAACACACTGTCCTCCCTGTCATAACACACTGTCCTCCCTGTCATAACACACTGTCCTCCCTGTCATAACACACTGTCCTCCCTGTCATAACACACTGTCCTCCCTGTCATAACACACTGTCCTCCCTGTCATAACACACTGTCCTCCCTGTCATAACACACTGTCCTCCCTGTCATAACACACTGTCCTCCCTGTCATAGCACTGTTAGTGGTCCTGTTGTTTCATAACTAAGCCACGGTGATTTAATTTAATTGTCAATAATCAATAATCGCGTCGAGAAGCTGGACTATTTTACATTTTAGTCATTTAGCAGACGCTCTTATGCAGAGCGACTTACAGTTAGTGAGTGCATACATTTTTTCATACTGGCCCCCCGTGGGTAACGAACCCACAACCCTGGCGTTGCAAGCGCCATGCTCTACCAGCTGAGCTACACGGGACTATGACTGTAACTTTGTGCATGCGTGTGTGTATGTGTGTCTGTGTGTGTGTGTGTGTGTGTGTGTGCGGAGGTGTGTGTGTGCGGTCCCAGATGTTATCATCACATTGTTTTATTTATGGCAGTGCTGGAGTGGATTACTGTGTGGCAACGTGATTACGGACGGTACATCTCAGTTTGTGTGTGTGTATGTGTGTATGTGTGTATGTGTGTGTGTGTATGTGTGTGTGTGTGTATGTGTGTGTGTGTGTGTGTGTGTGTGTATGTGTGTGTGTGTGTGTGTGTGTGTGTGTATGTGTGTATGTGTGTGTGTGTGTGTGTATGTGTGTATGTATGTGTGTATGTGTGTGTGTGTGTATGTGTGTGTGTGTGTGTATGTGTGTATGTGTGTGTGTGTATGTGTGTATGTATGTGTGTGTGTGTGTGTGTGTATTTGTGTGTGTGTGTGTGTGTGTGTGTGTGTGTGTGTGTGTGTGTGTGTGTGTGTGTGTGTCTGTGTGTGTGTGTGTGTGTGTGTGTGCCAGTCTAATGGTGTGTGTGTGTCTCCGCGTCACGGTGTTTATGTGTGTGTGTCACGTGATGTGAATGTGTGTGTGTCTTTCTGTGTGTGGATTTCGACACTGTAGGGGTTAAAGGTCAGCCAGTGACGTGACCTTCAGTGAACATCACCCCATTGTGATGACTATAATTATGTAATCGCTGTGATGACCATAATATTGTAATCGCTGTGATGACCATAATATTGTAATCGCTGTGATGACCATAATAATGGAATCAGTGTGATGACCATAATAATGTAATCACTGTGATGGTCATAATAATGTAGTTATTGCGATTACCACAATTGTGTAATCATTGTGATGACCATAATAATGTAATCATTGTGTAGCTGATGTTATCCAAGGCAGTGAACACTTAGGCTATTGACTGGTATTTGTAACCTGACGTGCATTTTCTAATTGCCCCTGAGGTGATAAATAAAGTTCTATGAAATGTAATTGACTGTATGAAGCTAGTATGGGACCTTCAGCCAAATGGGCCATCTGAACCACTTTGTAGGGGTTGTAGGGGTTAAAGGTCAGCCCCCCTATCCACCCCATTATACGGTTCAAGTTATTTACACATACTTTTTTTTTTTTTTTTTTTTTTTTGTCATTTAGCAGACGCTCTTATCCAGAGCGACTTACAGGGAGCAATTAGGGTTAAGTGCCTTGCTCAAGGGCACATCGTACACATACTTAAAGGGATAGTTGACCCAAATTCCTTAACCTGTCAGCAGTCTATGGACAAGGTATGACAGCAATCCATGCTTTGTTTTTGTTTTTCCTGGCTTCCAAAATGCCAACGTTTTAGCATTTGTGGCACAAATCCAATGCAAGTCATGCTACCTGTGTTAGCACTTTTCGTACATCATCTCCAAATCATCTATAAGTGATTTTAGTTTGTGCATACTGGTAACTGGTGGGAACACTCAACTTGAAAGTTCTCTGTCTTCACCAGTAGCGTTCACAGGAGTTACACTGTAGAGGTAGCACATGGTATCTGGCGCCATCTTCTGGCTAAAACATGGCACGACTCTGGTTGAGAATAAATAAAGAGCAGTAGAGGGCTTTTTTTTTATAGAGTTTTATAGAGGTAGAGGTAGCCTCACCTGTTTATTGGACATTATCCATACTGGTTGAGAGTCAATGTAACAGGCTGACGCCGACAAAGATGGCGGCCTCACGACTAGCTCTTAGGAAACTTTGCAGTATTTTGTATTTTCTATGTATTATTTGTTACATTATTAGCTCAGAAAGTGTTTTGCATCATTACATACAGCCGGGAAAAGCTATTGGATATCAGAGCGGCGGTAACTCACCAGCATTACGACCAGGAATACGACTTTCCCGAAGCAGATCCTTTGTTTGCTCTCCCCAGGGCAACTGAACTGATTCCAGCGGCTGACCCAAAACATCGCCGGCGGAGGAGAGGCACTCGGAGCGGCCTGCTGGTCCGACTTAGGAGGTGCGCACACCACCCCCCGCTTCCAAGTATTCTACTCGCTAATGTTCAGTCTTTGGTTAACAAGCTCGACGAACTACGGGCAAGGATTTCCTTCCAGAGAGACATCAAGGCCTGTAACATCCTCTGTTTCACGGAAACGTGGCTCTCTTGGGATATTCTGTCGGAATCGGTCCAGCCAGATGGGTTCTCAGTTCATCGCGCAGACAGGAATAATTATCTCTCCGGGAAGCAGAAGGGTGGAGGTGTGTGTTTCATGATTAACGACTCGTGGTGTAATTGTAGTAACATACAGGAACTTGAGTCCTTCTGTTCACCCGACCTAGAATATCTCACAATCAAATGCAGACCGTATTACCTCCCAAGAGAATTTTCTTCGGTTATAGTCACGGCCGTGTACAGTGAGGGAAAAAAATTATTTAATCCCCTGTTGATTTTGTACGTTTGCCCACTGACAAAGAAATTATCAGTCTATAATTTTAATGGTAGGTTTATTTGAACAGTGAGAGACAGAATAACAACAACAAAAATCCAGAGAAACGCATGTCAAAAATGTTATAAATTGATTTGCATTTTAATGAGGGAAATAAGTATTTGACCCCGTCTCAATCAGAAAGATTTCTGGCTCCCAGGTGTCTTTTATACAGGTAACGAGCTGAGATTAGGAGCACACTCTTAAAGGGAGTGCTCCTAATCTCAGTTTTTTACCTGTATAAAAGACACCTGTCCACAGAAGCAATCAATCAATCAGATTCCAAACTCTCCACCATGGCCAAGACCAAAGAGCTCTCCAAGGATGTCAGGGACAAGATTGTAGACCTACACAAGGCTGGAATGGGCTACAAGACCATCGCCAAGCAGCTTGGTGAGAAGGTGACAACAGTTGGTGCGATTATTCGCAAATGGAAGAAACACAAAATACCTGTCAATCTCCCTCGGCCTGGGGCTCCATGCAAGATCTCACCTCGTGGAGTTGCAATGATCATGAGAACGGTGAGGAATCAGCCCAGAACTACACGGAAGGATCTTGTCAATGATTTCAAGGCAGCTGGGACCATAGTCACCAATAAAACAATTGGTAACACACTACGCCGTGAAGGACTGAAATCCTGCAGCGCCCGCAAGGGTTGTTTGTCTGCTAAGGGGACAGGACAACTTCACCACATCAAAGGGACGATGGACGGGGCCATGTACCGTCAAATCTTGGGTGAGAACCTCCTTCCCTCAGCCAGGGCATTGAAAATGGGTCGTGGATGGGAATTCCAGCATGACAATGACCCAAATCACATTGCCAAGGCAACAAAGGAGTGGCTCAAGAAGAAGCACATTAAGGTCCTGGAGTGGCCTAGCCAGTCTCCAGACCTTAATCCCATAGAAAATCTGTGGAGGGAGCTGAAGGTTCGAGTTGCAAAACATCAGCCTCGAAACCTTAATGACTTGGAGAAGATCTGCAAAGAGGAGTGGAACAAAATCCCTCCTTAGATGTGTGCAAACCTGGTGGCCAACTACAAGAAACGTCTGACCTCTGTGATTGCCAACAAGGGTTTTTCCACCAAGTACTAAGTCATGTTTTGCAGAGAGGTCAAATTCTTATTTCCCTCATTAAAATGCAAATCAATTTATAAGCTAAACACCTTCTTCGCCCGCTTTGAGGATAACACAGTGCCACTGACGAGGCCCACTACCAAGGACTGTGGCCTCTCCTTCTCCATGGCCGACGTGAGTAAGACATTTAAGCACGTTAACCCTGGCAAGGCTGCCGGCCCAGACGGCATCCCTAGCAGCGTCTTCAGAGCATGCGCAGACCAGCTGGCTGGTGTTTTTACGGACATATTCAATCTCTCCCTTTCCCAGTCTGCTGTTCCCACATGCTTCAAGATGGCCACCATTGTTCCTGTACCCCAAAAAAAGCAAAGGTAACTGAACTAAATGACTATTGCCCTGTAGCACTCACCTCTGTCATCATGAAGTGCTTTGAGAGACTAGTCAAGGATCATTTCACCTCTACCTTACCTGTCATCCTAGAACCACTCCAATTAGCATACCGCCCCAATAGATCCACAGACGATGCAATCGCCATCACACTGCACTGCCCTATCCTGGGAGTGTGGTGCCAGGAAAATAACCTCTCACTCAACATTAACAAAACAAAGGAGATGATCGTGGACTTCAGGAAACAGCAGAGGGTGCACCCCCCTATCCACATCGACGGGACCGCAGTGGAGAAGGTGGAAAGCTTCAAGTTCCTTGGGGTACACATCACCGACAAACTTAAATGGTCCACCCACGCAGACAGTGTGCTGAAGAAGGCGCAACAGAGCCTCTTCAACCTCAGGAGGCTGATGAAATTCGGCTTAGCACCTAAAACCCTCACAAACTTTTACAGATGCACAATTGAGAGCATCCTGTCGGGCTGTATCACCGCCTGGTATGGCAACTGCACTGCCCACAACCGCAGGGCTTTCCAGAGGGTGGTGCAATCTGCCGAACGCGTTACCGGAGGCAAACTACCCGCCCTCCAAGATACATACAGCACCCGATGTCACAGGAAGGCCAAAAAGATCATCAAGGACATCAACCACCCAAGCCACTGCCTGTTCACCCCGCTATCATCCAGAAGGCGAGGTCAGTACAGGTGCATCAAAGCTGGGACCGAGAGAATGAAAAACAGCTTCTATCTCAAGGCCATCAGACTGTTAAATAGCCATCACTAGCACATTAGAGGCTGCTGCTGCCTATTGAAATCACTGGCCACTTTAAGAAATGGAACACCAGTCACTTTAAAAATGTTTACATATCTTGCACTACTCATCTCATTTGTATATACTGCATTCTATTCTATAATATTCTACTGTATCTTAGTCCATGCCGCTCTGTCATTGCTTGTCCATATATGTATGTATTCTTAAATCCCATTCCTTACTAGTTTTGTGTGTATTGGGTACAGTTGAAGTCGGAAGTTTACATACACTTAGGTTGGAGTCATTAAAACTCGTTTTTCAACCACTCCACAAATTTCTTGTTAACAAACTATAGTTTTGGCAAGTTGGTTAGGACATCTACTTTGTGCATGACACAAGTAATTTTTCCAATAATTGTTTACAGACAGATTATTTCACTTATAATTCACTGTATCACAATTCCAGTGGGTCAGAAGTTTACATACACTAAGTTGACTGTGCCTTTAAACAGCTTGGAAAATTCCAGAAAATGATGTCATGGCTTTAGAAGCTTCTGATAGGCTAATTGACATAATTTGAGTCAATTGGAGGTGTACCTGTGGATGTATTTCAAGGCCTACCTTCAAACTCAGTGCCTCTTTGCTTGACATCATGGGAAAATCAAAAGAAATCCGCCAAAACATTGTAGACCTCCACAAATCTGGTTCCTCCTTGGGAGCAATTTCCAAACGCCTGAAGGTACCACGTTCATCTGTACAAACAATAGTACGCAAGTATAAACACCATGGGACCACGCAGCCATCATACCGCTCAGGAAGGAGACGCGTTCTGTCTCCTAGAGATGAACGTACTTTGGTGCGAAAAGTGCAAATCAATCCCAGAAAAACAGTGTAGTGTATGATGAATTATGACTTTGCTAATGTTTTCAAGTGGAACCTGAGAGGATGTTTATTCAGTTTCAGAGGGAGCCGTTTTAGAGTGACACCTCATAGAACAGAGGGAGTCTGTTTGTTGGAGACAGGTGATTGGACAGTAAAGGGGGCCACCCATATTTTTGTAAAGATTATAAGTATGGGCTAGAGACAAAGAACATTAGAACAGACTTATTCTTTTGGGACTCTGTTCTCCGGATGCTATAGACATCTGTAAACTTATGCTGAAATCTTGTGATATGAATAAAACTTATGATCAAAGCTCAGTATAAGCGGACTCCTTTGTTACAGCATAATTAGCCACATTAACTCGACACTACAACAGCAAAGGACCTTGTGAAGATGCTGGAGGAAACAGGTACAAAAGTATCTATATCCACAGTAAAACAAGTCCTATATCATAACCTGAAAGGCTGCTCAGCAAGGAAGAAGCCACTGCTCTAAAACCGCCATAAAAAAGCCAGACTACGGTTTGCAACTGCACATGGGGACAAAGATCGTAATTTTTGGAGAAATGTCCTCTGGTCTGATGAAACAAAAATATAACTGTTTTGCCATAATGATAATTATTATGTTTGGAGGAAAAAGTGGGATGCTTGCAAGCCAAAGAACACCATCCCAACCGTGAAACACGGGGGTGGCAGCATCATGCTGTGGGGGTGCTTTGCTGCAGGAGGGACTGGTGCACTTCACAAAATAGATGGCATCATGAGGAAGGAAAATAATGTGGATATATTGAAGCAACATCTCAAGACATCAGTCAGGAAGTTAAAGCTTGGTCGCAAATGGGTCTTCCAAATGGACAATGACCCCAAGCATACTTCCAAAGTTGTGGCAAAATGGCTTAAGGACAACAAAGTCAAGGTATTGGAGTGGCCATCACAAAGCCCTGACCTCAATCCTATAGAACATTTGTGGGCAGAACTGAAAAAGCGTGTGCGAGCAAGGAGGCCTACAAACCTGACTCAGTTACACCAGCTCTGTCAGGAGGAATCGGCCAAAATTCCCCCAACTTATTGTGGGAAACTTGTGGAAGGCTATCCGAAACGTTTCACCCAAGTTAAACAATTTAAAGGCAATCCTACCAAATACTAATTGAATGTATGTAAACTTCTGACCCACTGGGAATGTGATAAAATAAATAAAAGCTTAAATAAATCATTCTCTCTACTATTATTCTGACATTTCACATTCTTAAAATAAAGTGGTGATCCTAACTGACCTAAGACAGGGAATTTTTACTAGGATTAAATGTCAGGAATTGTGAAAAACTGAGTTTAAATGTATTTGGCTAAGGTGTATGTAATCCTCCGACTTCAACTGTATATGTTGTGAAATTGTTAGATATTACTGCACTGTCGGAGCTAGAAGCACAAGCATTTCGCTACACCCGCTATAACATCTGCTAAACACGTCTATGTGACAAATAAAATAATGAAATTTGATTTGATGTAAAGGTAGAGTGTAGCCTCCCCTGTTTATTAGACATTATCCATACTGGTTGAGAGTTAATCAGACAACACAAGTAACTGGCTTTTTTTTGTGATTAGATTCACTATTTGGTATGATACTACAAAAATACAAAGAAATACTATTTTCAGAATGTCGAGTGTCATTATATTAATTGAGAATAGTAATATCTAACGGCTATATAACCCTATTATAACCCTATACATTTTAGTATTTTAGCAGACGCTCTTATCCAGAGCGACTTACATGAGAAATTAGGGTTAAGTGCCTTGCTCAAGGGCACATCGACAGATTTTTCACCAAGTCGGCTTCGGGGATTAGAACCAGAGGCCTTTCAGTTACTGGCACAACACTCTAAACCACTAAGCTACCTGCCGCTCATAACCCCCAGCGTGTGGTATCTCATCCAGTGATAACAGCCACAGTGTTGGGTTTACTCGGTTCTGTCACGCTGTTCCTCCAGCCCTGTCTCCAGCGCCCCAGGATGGCTCTGATCTCCTTGGTCCTGAAGCAGTAGATGAACGGGTTGGCGACCGGGGGAAACAGGCTGTAGAGTAGAATAGGTACTTTAGAAGATGACTTTACTTTGTCAGTTGTCACAGAAACACTGAAATCTTTTTCCTTTTTTATCCCAACTCCTCCCGAGAAACACACACGCCGCCTGGAGCAGATTAAGGGGTTTAGGGATTTAAGGGGTTTGTTTATTGTCCATTTGATTGGAACGGAAATTAGTCTTGTGTCTTTTCCCCCAACCCCAGACCCAGCCTCTCTAACCTGTGGTCTACCTACCTGTAGACGAGGCTGAGGGCGATGCGGAGGTCAGGGGTCATTGTCAGGTTGGGGATGTAGGGAGTGGAGTAGACTACGAAGCGGGGGATGTAGTAAATAAGGATGACACATCCCTGAGTAACACAGGTAGAGAAGGTCTTCAGTCTGCCCTGGGTTAGAGAGAGGAGAAAGGAGGAGAAAAGCGTTCAGTGGGTTAGGAGAAAGGTTAGGGTCAGGACAGAGAGACGCAGTGGGTTAGGAGAAAGGTTAGGGTCAGGACAGAGAGACGCAGTGGGTTGGGAGAAAGGTTAGGGTCAGGACAGAGAGACGCAGTGGGTTAGGAGAAAGGTTAGGGTCAGGACAGAGAGACGCAGTGGGTTAGGAGAAAGGTTAGGGTCAGGACAGAGAGACGCAGTGGGTTAGGAGAAAGGTTAGGGTCAGGACAGAGAGACGCAGTGGGTTAGGAGAAAGGTTAGCGTCAGGACAGAGAGACGCAGTGGGTTAGGAGAAAGGTTAGGGTCAGGAGAGAGTAGTTAGAATTAGGGACACAGACAGGAATTAGGGACCCCCACCCCTCCTCCCACCAAGCGCACACCCCCACCCTCAACAACCCCTTTCTCTGACCTGTGCGTTGGCCATGCGCATCACGGTGATGATGATGCTGACGTAGGAGAAGATGATGAAGGAGAATGGGAGGAGGAGGACGAACATGGCCATCCCATAGGAGCTCTCGTGGATCGCCACCATGTTGGAGCAAGACAGCGAAGTCAGTGAAGCAGCATCACAGTAGGCATGGAGGATACGGTTGGGACCACAGAACGCCACTTTCTGGGAGATTAAAAACAAACAATGTCATTGTCAGTGAGTTGAAATGTAATTTAAAGGGCTTTTTACATCAGCAGCACGGAACCCGGGCCTAGATGCCAAACGTTTGAAGAATCAGGTTGGGTCCATAGAACGCTGCTTTCTGGGAGGTGAAGTTAGGAAAAGCTTAGAGGAGATATGGTGTCATTCTCAATCAATAAGATTTATTTATAGGCCTTTTTTACATCAGCAATGTCCTTTAAAACAGTAATCTAGATCACAAAGAGCAAACGGAATCAGTGTCAAGGAACAACTCCCCAGGAGGAGGACATTTGAGAGGAACCCGTCTTCAAGGCTCGTTGGCCCATCCTCCCCTGGCTTGCAGCATGTGTTTTACCTAGAAGTTCTGTACTTGGGCCCCAAAAATGCCTACATTTCTGTTCTAATTGAAACACATTTTTTTGTGTGTGATAAAGACATGTCAATTTGATTAGTTGTGCTTTGGAGCTTTGTTTTGTGATGTGCTACCCTTGGTGAAGGCTATGCTGCCCTCTGGCTGCCAGGCCCACTGGATGGCTTTAGTTACAGTATCATCATTATACAGTGTATTATTATATAATCACAGAACTCTGGTGGAGTCTATGCTGCCCTCTACTGTAAAAAAATAAAAAAAATAAAAAAAATTGAAATAAAAAAAATCTTAAAAAAACTAAAAATAACAATATAAAATAAACTATTACAAATAAAATAAAAATTAAAAATTAAAAATAATATTGTAAAGTGGTTATCCCACTGGCTATCATAAGGTGAATGCACCAATTTGTAAGTCGCTCTGGATAAGAGCGTCTGCTAAATGACGTAAATGTGAATGTACTGGCTGCAGTAACATTATTACCATATAGACAACGTCACGAAAAGGATGCGCGCATCGATGAGGCAGAGTTCCATGTGGTGTTGTGATTCTGAACAGTCAGATCCGTAGCAACAATGACCAGAAGCTGCCATGTGGGGAATCGTAGGTGGCCGGTTTCAGCTCATTGTATCTTGTTGTAAATCCCATGTCTTGTTTTGAGGTGTTTTGGACTCATGTCATGTCTATGCTAATGTGGCTGAAATTCGCTATCTAGCTATCCAACAACTGTAGCGATGTATTTGAGAGACAACAAGTGCTCGTTTATGTGCAATTAATTTGGAGACGAAATACAGTTTACATGTTGTCAACAATCTAGGCCAACCGCGTCTGTTTTGCCCCACAGTGGCACACTCGCTAAATAACCAACCCATCCGTATCATGACAGTACCCTGCTGAAGTCTATGGTGAGGATGACAGGTGCGACTTGGGCTGACATCCAGGAGAAGACTGTCAGACCACTCATAGTCCGGTTGGTCATCATCACAGGATATCTGGAGAGGAGAGAGCAGGGGATGGAGGGAGAGAGAGAGATGGAGAGAGGAGGGGATGGAGGGAGAGAGAGGAGAGAGGAGAGAGGGGGAGAGAGATGGGGGAGGAGAGAGGGGAGAGAGAGTGGAGAGAGGAAGATGGGGGGGAAGAGAGAGAGAGGAGAGAGGAAGATGGGGGGGAGGAGAGAGATGGAGAGAGGAAGATGGGGGAGAGAGAGAGAGGGGAGAGAGGAAGATGGGGGGAGAGAGAGAGGGAGATGAGCGGAGGAGAGGAACAGATGGGGAGGGATGGGGGAGAGGAGAGAATGGAGAGAGAAGGGGTGAGGAGGAGAGAGATGGAGAGAGGAAGATGGGGGGAGAGAGAGAGGGAGAGAGGAAGAGGGGGGGAGAGAGAGGATGGACGAGAGGAAGATGGGGGGCGGAGAGGAGGAGATGGAGAGAGGGAAAGAGGGGGAGGAGGGAGAGAGAGAGAGTGGAGAGAGGGAGATGGGGAGAGAGAGTAGATGGGAGATGGAGGAGAGCAGGGGGGGGAGAGGAGATGAGGAGAGAGGAAGATGGGGGAGAGAGAGAGATGGAGAGAGGAAGATGGGGGGAGAGAGGGAGATGGAGAGAGGAAGAGGGGGGGAGAGAGGAGAGATGGAGAGAGGAAGATGGGGGGAGGAGAGGGAGATGGAGAGAGGAAGATGGGGGGAGGAGAGAGAGATGGAGAGAGGAAGATGGGGGGAGAGAGATGGAGAGAGGAAGATGGGGGGAGAGAGAGAGATGGAGAGAGGAAGATGGGGGAGAGAGAGATGGAGAGAGGAAGATGGGGGGGAGGAGATGAAGAGAGGATGGAGGGAGGAGGAAGATGGGGGGGAGAGAGAGAGAGGAGATGGGGAGGAAGATGGGGGAGAGAGGAGATGGAGAGAGGAAGATGGGGGAGAGAGAGAGATGGAGAGAGGAAGATGGGGGAGGAGGAGAGGAGAGAGGAGGGGAGGGAGAGATGGGGGGGGGAGAGAGAGAGAGAGAGGAAGATGGGGGAGAGAGAGAGATGGGGGGAGAGAGAGAAGGAGAGAGGGAGATGGGGGGAGAGAGAGAGACGGAGAGAGGAAGATGGGGGGAGAGAGAGATGGAGAGAGGAAGATGGGGGAAAGAGAGAGATGGAGAGAGGAAGATGGGGGAGAGAGAGAGATCGAGAGAGGAAGATGGGGGAGAGAGAGAGATGGAGAGAGGGGAGAGGACCAAAACAAGAATGAATCCCTCCCAAGACACTTGTATGTATTTTTCATCAATCACATCATAACGCATATTATTGAGATGATGTTGATGTTGTTGTTGTTACCTGAGAGGGTAGCAGATAGCCAGGTACTGGTCCATAGCCATGGTTGTCATGATGAGAGTGTTAGGGTTAGAGTTAGGTAGATCTATGTTACCTGAGAGGGTGACAGATAGCCAGGTACCGGTCCATAGCCATGGTTGTCATGATGAGAGTGTTAGGGTTAGGGTTAGGTAGATCTATGTTGCCTGAGAGGGTGACAGATAGCCAGGTACCGGTCCATAGCCATGGTTGTCATGATGAGAGAGTTAAGGTTAGGGTTAGGTAGATCTATGTTACCTGAGAGGGTGACAGATAGCCAGGTACCGGTCCATAGCCATGGTTGTCATGATGAGAGAGTTAAGGTTAGGGTTAGGTAGATCTATGTTACCTGAGAGGGTGACAGATAGCCAGGTACCGGTCCATTGCCATGTTCATCATGATGAGAGTGTTAGGGTTAGGGTTAGATAGATCTATGTTACCTGAGAGGGTGACAGATAGCCAGGTACCGGTCCATTGCCATGTTCATCATGATGAGAGAGTTGAGCGTTCCAAAGTAGTGGATCATTTGTTCCTGGAACAGACAGGTATGGAAGGAGATCGTCCCATCGTCCCACCACCACCGAGCTATCACCTTGGGAAGGGCCACTGTGGCAAAACCTGGAGAGGAGAGGAGAGGGGAGGAGAGGAGAGGAGAGGAGAGGAGAGGAGAGGAGAGGAGAGGAGAGGAGAGGAGAGGAGAGGAGAGGAGAGGAGAGGAGAGGAGAGGAGAGGAGAGGAGAGGAGAGGAGAGGAGAGGAGAGGAGAGGAGAGGAGAGGAGACCACGTTAGACTATTGAGACAGACAGGTATGGACGGAGATCCTCCCGTTGTCCCACCAGTATTGGGCTATCACCGTGGAAACACTCTCCCTATGGAAACACTCTGGGTCACTAGCCTCTCTCTAAGAGGGAAATTAGACACATTCACCCTGTTTAAATACTCATCCTTTCTTGGATGGAAGTAATCACTGATTGATAACAGATTTGTACATGACTGTGTTGTCAGAGAGGTACTCTCCACATGATGAAAGAAGGAGGGAGGTATGGGGACCCATTTTAACGTGAGACTCTTTCTCTCATGACCTCTCCTCTCTCACTGATGTCTGTGCTCAGCCAGACACATATAAACTCCCTCAGCGGTCACATTGGGGAAGAAAAGAGTGAGAGAGAGAACACATTTGAACAGAACACACATTCTAACACAACTCCTTCATCAGACAGAACCAGGCTGAGCATCTTACCTATATCTGACAGAACCAGGCTGAGCATCTTATCTATATCTGACAGAGCCAGGCTGAGCATCTTACCTATATCTGACAGAGCCAGGCTGAGCATCTTACCTATATCTGACAGAACCAGGCTGAGCATCTTACCTATATCTGACAGAGCCAGGCTGAGCATCTTACCTATATCTGACAGAGCGAGGCTGAGCATCTTACCTATATCTGACAGAGCCAGGCTGAGCATCTTACCTATATCTGACAGAGCCAGGCTGAGCATCTTACCTATATCTGACAGAGCCAGGCTGAGTATCTTACCTATATCTGACAGAACCAGGCTGAGCATCTTACCTATATCTGACAGAACCAGGCTGAGTATCTTACCTATATCTGACAGAACCAGGCTGAGTATCTTACCTATATCTGACAGAGCCAGGCTGAGTATCTTACCTATATCTGACAGAGCCAGGCTGAGCATCTTACCTATATCTGACAGAGCCAGGCTGAGCATGATGATGTACATGGGTTTCTGCAGGTTGCGCTCCAGGGCAAACAGCACCACCAGCAGGAAGTTCCCCACCACCGTGGTCACATAGATAAAGCAGAACAACCAGGCCACCAGCTGGTAGAAGGATGGATGGAGCCCCGGGAAGCCCACGATCACAAACTCTGACACACGTGTGTAGTTCTCATCCACGTCAAACATTCTGTACTGGGGAAGGTGGGGGGAGGTAGGAGAGACATCATCAGAGAGATAGAGACACTAAAGCCTGTCCTGAAATGGTTAATTACTCAACTAAAATAGTTTCAGCTGCAGGAGAGAGGGAGAGGTGGAGAGAAGATGTTGAAGACCCTGTATGATCTCTCTCTCCCTCCATCCTTACCCCCACATAGCTCAGGTTTGATTCCCACGGGGGGCCAGTATAAATAAAAAATGTATGCACTAACTTTAAGTTGCTCTGGATAAGAGCGTCTGCTAAATGACTAAAATGTTTAAAAAAAATTACAGACATGAAGTTACACAAATATAAAGAGAGAGATCCTGAAGAGGCTACATCTTTCCATCCTTACCTCCCTCCCAATCAGCGCCCCCGGAGGTGTGTGGCGTGTCCCGCTCTGTACCTCCCAACTTTATACCCAGCATGCCCTCTGACAGGACAGCCAACAGCCAATCAGAAACCTCCACTCTGCCGATGTCACTGTTGTCACTCCACTCATGTCTGTCACAGAGAATTTCATCCCCTTGCCATCCCTCTGTAGTGCTGTGCAAGTACACTCTAACGAACAGATCACTTCCTTGTAAGGATTATAAAGATGGTGTAATGTGAACGTTTGACATTTTAGTCATTTAGCGGACGCTCTTATCCAGAGGCGACTTACAGTTAGTGAGTGCATACATTTTCGTGCAGTCCCCAACCGCTGCTGCTCTCCCTGCTACATTGGTGGCAGAGGTGGGATCACTCCAGTAGTCTCAGGAAGCATTAGAGAATCGTGCAGTTGTACGTGTTTTGGGGCTTGGTGCACAACGACGCCTAAAGGGCCAACCCTCGGTTCAAACAACAACGAAGTGGCCACCCCGCCACTCATGCAAAAAATACAAATTAATTACTTAAAAATCATACAATGTGATTTTCTGGATTTTTGTTTTAGATTCCGTCTCTCACAGTTGAAGTGTACCTATGATAAAAATTACAGACCTCTACATGCTTTGTAAGTAGGAAAACCTGCAAAATCGGCAGTGTATCAAATACTTGTTCTCCCCACTGTAAATGATGGTGCATTGTGGGAAGGTTTTGTGGGCTAGGAAAGAATGGCTGTATTTCGAATGGTACTGTAATTGCATCCCACAGAATACAGTACCATACCGTATTTTTGGAGCACCAAAAACCTTTTCACCACTAGTGGGTGCATGGTGTTGTTGTTTCTGGCTCATTAACATATTTTGAGGCGTGCCTTGTAAGAGGCTATATATTTTTTTTCACCCATAAAGTGAGAATTTAACTGGTATGTGGTAGTAATGCCGCATCAATTAAAAAGGGGACAGATTGGAGTGGCAGCAAGTCTTAAATGGCTGTTCGTTTTGGTCTGTTTTGCCCTGTAGTCACTGCCAGTTTGGAAGCCTTTGGAAGTGCAAGTGATATAGCATAGAACAGCAAATATTCATTAATATGTCGTATGTGTGAACACATTACCTAGCAGCCAACCTGCTTGCACCAATCCCATGTAAGTTACTGTGAAATACAAACCCCAACCTCTCTCAATGAATTTCATTCGTTCAATCGATGTATAGTATACCTACCATTGACACATCACTTCCTGTCGGGAAGCAGGAAGCAGGAAACAGGAATTAGAAAATTAAGCAGTGATTCAGTCAAGGGGCCAGGGTTCCGGTCTAGAAGCACGGTTTTGACTGCTTCTACAGTTTTGCTTCGGTACTGCAGTTTAACTGATGTCCGGCCCAAAAAGACAATATCCGCAGACGGCCACATACAAAGGTCAGATTTGAAAATTCCTAATAAGATACTTTAGCCATCACCTTTGTGCACAAAACATCCATTGAATTATTCAAATAATTGTCGCTGAGGCCGATATTTTTCTATCACAGCCGAAGACATTAACATTTTATATTCATCCAATGTCTGCCATGTTTTTGGACGACGTGATGACGTCACTGCCCCTGCTCCTCCCCTAGCGCGCATGTGATGCTGGTCCGTATAAAGCAGATGCAAGCCGGATGCTCCCGAGTGGCGCAGTGGTCTGAGGCACTGCATCTCAGCTTTAGAGGCGTGACCACAGACCCTGGTTCGATTGGTTGATTGGCGGTCCCATAGGGCGGCGCACAATTGGCCCAGCGTCGTCCGGGTTTGGCCGGTGTAGGCCGCCATTGTAAATAAGAATTTGTTCTTAACTGATTTGCCTAGTTAAATAAAGGTTAAACAGAAAAATATAGTCTGTGAACGTGAGTAGATTGTCCGTGCTACGGTGTTGTATACTTCTAAACTTTTATTTGAAGTTTTAAACAAATAACTAGATTTCACCTCGTTCCTATAGGCCACATTTACACAAGGAAACTGTCCATATCAGATTTTGCATATCATTTATGAGTTGGCCCCACATATTTATAAATGACCGAGCAAGATGTCCTTAGTGATTGAACTATCTCGTGAATTTGTATCCAAGTGAGCGGACACGTAAGGCAATTGCCTGATGCCCCCCAAATTACCCTTGGTGCCTGATCCCATACCCTATAATTCTGTATATCTTTGTGACTAATTTCTATGCAGGTAGACCAGAGAGAAGCCACATCCCTGATTGGCAGATGACTGGCAATCCTGATTAGAAGCACCTGCTGCTCATTGGTTGCACACCTGCTGTTTTGGATGGAAAAAGATCTGTACCTTCACACTGGAGAAGGCTGCAAAGCCGAAACGTCTGTGTACGTAATCCCTGATGCAGTGAAAATAATACAAAAAAATCAAGTAAGCTTTATGCTAAATGTTATTTATTTTAAATTATTTAAATTGTATTTATTTACTTTTAGTGTTTTATTTCAGGAATGCAGTGTTAGTGCTGTTGTTACACACCATTTTAATGCAACTCTTTTCCTGTCTGGATTTTTACTGTCGCCTGACTGAACTGATACTAGCCCTGTCTAGCTAGTCTGCCTGGCTGACACCGGCAAAGCTTGACTCGTGTCGAAGTTGGCTCGTTGTAGCCCCGGGGAACGCTGATTGGAGTTGGATGGTAAAAGCAATGAAGTGTGAGTCATGTGACATGTTCATTGTAGTCAAAGAGGAACAGTATACTGACATATACACTTGTGAGAAGTGTAAATGGCTCCATGCCTCTAAGGAGCGGATCATTGAACTACTAGACGAGAACAGGGGGCTCAGAGATTATTTGATTGGTCTGGACAAGAAGGCAAAGGGAGGATACCTTGATTTATATGGGGATGATTTCTATATTTTGAAAAGTTACATATCTTGAAAACTTGATTGCTGACAAGCACTTAAAATGATCATAGGACAAACTCTTATTCCATCATGTAACCTTGCAAGGGTTTTCACTGTTGAGGAACATTCTCACTTTTGGATGGGATGCATCGGTGCAATTATTTCTTTATCCCAAGAATTAAGGCATCATGTCAAGATCTGCCCATCTGCACAACACGCCTCGAAATGTGGACGACCTCAAACGTGACAAGTGCGCAAAGAACGGGTCGAGAAGAAGGTCAGTTGTGCAAAATTGACACATCGATGAACGCAGGAGAACTACAGTGTCTTGCTCTACGCCAGGGTTCTTCAATTCCGGTCCTGGAGGGCCGAAACACTTCTGTTTTTTATTTCTACCTGGTAGTTAATTGCACTCACCTGGTGTCGCAGGTCTGAATTAGCCCCTGATTAGAAGGAGAGGATGAAAAACAGAGGTGTTTCGGCCCTCCAGGACCGGAATTGAAGAACCCTGCTCTACACCATCGGAGTTAAAATGGAGTGAAGTTGGAGGTAGGAGTTGACGAGGTAGAAAAACCCCAAGGTGTCCTCCCTTTGCCTTCTTGTCTAGACCTATCAAATCCCCCTGTCCTCACCGGGACAGTTATTTTGTGTTTCTTCCATTTGCGAATAATCGCACCAACTGTTGTCTCCTTCTCACCAAGCTGCTTGGCGATGGTCTTGTAGCCCATTCCAGCCTTGTGTAGGTCTACAATCTTGTCCCTGACATCTTTGGAGAGCTCTTTGGTCTTGGCCATGGTGGAGAGTTTGGAATCTGATTGATTGATTGCTTCTGTGGACAGGTGTCTTTTATACAGGTAACAAACTGAGATTAGGAGCACTCCCTTTAAGAGTGTGCTCCTAATCTCAGCTCGTTACCTGTATAAAAGACACCTGGGAGCCAGAAATCAAATACTTATTTCCCTCATTAAAATGCAAATCAATTTATAAAATTTTTGACATGCGTTTTTCTGGATTTTTTTGTTATTCTGTCTCTCACTGTTCAAATAAACCTACCACTAAAATTATAGACTGATCATTTCTTTGTCAGTGGGCAAATGTACAAAATCAGCAGGGGATCAAATACTTTTTTCCCTCACTGTATGTAGTTTGCTAGCTAGCTAGCCCAGTGTTGGCTAGCTAGCTAACTGTAGCTAGCTAGCACAACATTGACTATTCTCGGACGCTATTTACGTGAAGTCTAAGTAAATTAATTTGCTTTTTTTTTTTTTTTACTGATCATTGTTTCCCAACTCCAGTCCTGGAATATCCCCAACAGTACACATTTTTATTAAAGCCCCAGACAACCACACCTGATTCAACTTGTCAACTAATCATCAAGCCCTCGATGAGTTGAACCAGATATTTTTGTCCGTGGCTACAACAAACATGTGTACTGTTTAAATCTGTTTAAATCAGTATTTAAATACAGTAACTTGCGTACCAATGAGCTGCCTGTAAGTTACTGGTAACCTCTTTTCACTGCAACCTTTTCAAGATGGCAGCAAGCATGTCTTTTTCTCTGATCAGTGGTTGTAGTTGAAAAGCTTTTTTGTGGATTTTTTGTCTCCTTTTACCTTTGTTTCATCTGGCTGTGAACACAGTGGACAATAGTGCATTATAGAATACAGAGTTTTTAAGGAGACATAAAAAACTGGTCTGTTGAACCTTTTGAGGCCTACTTGGATATACCTGGGCACCCTGCTCTGCACTGGGGCATTATCTGATCAGACACCTGCCTCCTGTTATATACCTGGTCCCCCTGCTCTGCACTGGGGCATTATCTGAGCAGACACCTGCCTCCTGTTATATACCTGGGCACCCTGCTCTGCACTGGGGCATTATCTGAGCAGACACCTTCCTCCTGTTATATACCTGGGCACCCTGCTCTGCACTGGGGCATTATCTGAGCAGACACCTGCCTAATGCTGCTTTCATCCTTCCACTTGACATTGCGCCTTGGATGTTTTTGGACTACTGCCAAACTTAAACTCCGCTTGGTTTAGCAACCAGTTGAGCAGACAGCCATTTTGCACTGTTTCGCTATGGTTTTAGTCATCAATCTAGCAAAAGGGCAATATTATATGAATGTAGTAGCGTTTCACCCCTAGAAAGCTATGACCTTTCACCTGGAATTGTTTATTTATGTCTGAGAAAAAAACATGAATATGTACACCATAAAAGTATAATACACCATATACAAATAGGATGGTATGATAAAAATAATAATAATAATTGTGAATGAATAAGCCTTTTTATACTTTATAATATCCATATACATGTACAGTATAGTTATAATCTGTTTTAGGAACATCTACACAAAATATTTCATCTTCTTTATTACTTTACCAAACATATCATGACATTAGTGATAGTCAAAATATGTTACATTTGTGAACGTCTAATCAACATTTGGGCCATTTTAAAGGGACAAAGGGAGAAGCGCTATGTAAAGGGGTCCATTTTGTTGTTATGCAATGTGTCTGCCTCCAACGTAAAACAAATGTTTGACTTCTACACAAAAGTATCTATTTTAGGTTTAAGGAAGTGTGTAGGTCGCATTCTTTATCATAGAGCTATGAAAGTGATGTATTTAGATCCGCCTGCTCGAGACAAATTCAGCGATTGCTTTGCCATGTCTGTGCCGTGAAGCAGTCCAGCTGGATAAATGTTTTTCTAAGGACTGCCCCTTTGATGTAATTTTGCAGTGAAGTGATATAAATGGATGTAATGATGCAACCGACCACCAGAGGGAGGCAAATACATGTTTATTCGACGTTGACCTGGTCCTAGGAAGGTCTGGATGTTTGTTTTCTGACTTCTAAAACGGTGGGTAATCAATAAAATAAGTAATGCAAACATATAGATACATTTAAAAGTAATTCTAATGCCCTATTTCAGGGACTGTCCGTTTTTAGAGGTTTTATGTTCCTTACTTAGATTGTTTTCAATAAAAATGGTTAAAACTAAACAAAAATAACTTCTTAGCAAAGAGCAATTTCTCAAGCAAGAATTTAGCTAGGACTGTCTGGGAGTGGTCTGAGTGGGGAGGGGAAAACAGAAAACTAGCTGTTATTGGCAATGAGGTTTGGAACTCTCTTTCTTATTGGTCTATACACTAATTTACCACCTGGTGATGTCACCAAGCAAGCCAAAACTCCATCCCACCAACACAGGCTAAGATTTCAGGCGGTCTTTTCAAACAGCTTAAGAGACTTTAGACTACTTGGATTTACTATTTTTGACTCTCCCTTAGCCTCCCTCCTGGCTTTCCACCGGCCTGTACATCCCCCTCCAAGGTGCTTCTCTTCTGGCTATCGTACTGGTAACACGGCCTCCATTGCGTTGCTGTTTTGATGGGCCCCAGCATTTAATTGCATTGAGTAAGTCACAGCTCTCTCCTTGTTGTTGTTACGCTGACAGTTTTGTGCCTTGGTTGTGTTTATTGTGGGTCCTAGTCGTGGCTGAACGATGACATGAATAACATACAGCTGGCGGGTTATACACTGTATCGGCAGGATAGAACGGCAGCCTCGGGTAAGACAAGGGGTGGCGGTCTATGTATATTTGTAAACAACAGCTGATGCACGATATCTAAGGAAGTCTCGAGGTTTTGCTCGCCTGAGGTAGAGTTTCTCATGATAAGCTGTAGACCACACTATCTACCAAGAGAGTTTTCATCTATATTCTTCGTAGCTGTCTATTTACCACCACAAACCGATGCTGGCACTAAGACCGCACTCAATTAACTGTATACGGCCATAAGCAAACAGGAAAACGCTCATCCAGAGGCGGCGCTCCTAGTTGCCGGGGACTTTAATGCGTTTTACCTAATCCGTTTTACGTCATTTCTACCAGCATGTCAAATGTGCAACCAGAGGGAAAATAACTCTAGACCACCTATACTCCACACACAGAGACACGTACAAAGCTCTCCCTCGCCCCCATTTGGAAAATCTGACCATAATTATATCCTCCTGATTCCTGCTTACAAGCAAAAACTAAAGCAGGAAGCACCAGTGACTTGGTCAATAAAAAAAGTGGTCAGATGAAGCAGATGCTAAGCTACAGGACTGTTTTGCTAACACAGACTGGAACATGTTCCAGGATTCTTCCGATGGCATTAATGAGTACACCATATCAGTCACTGGCCTCATCAATAAGTGCATTGATGACGTCGTCCCCACAGTGACTGTACTTACATACCCCAACCAGAAGCCATGGATTACAGGCAACATCCGCACTGAGCTAAAGGGTAGAGCTGCCGCTTTCAAGGAGCGGCACTCTAACCCGGAAGCTAATAAGAAATCCCGCTATGCTCTCCGACGAACCATCAAACAGGCAAAGCGTCAATACAGGACTAAGATCGAATCGTACTACACCGGCTCCGACGCTCGTCGGATGTGGCAGGGCTTGCAAACTATTACAGACTACAAAGGGAAGCACAGCCACAAGCTTGCCAGTGACACAAGCCTACCAGACGAGCTAAATTACATCTATGCTCGCTTCGAGGCAAGTAACACTGAAACATGCATGAGAGCATCAGCTGTTCCGGATGACTGTGTGATATCGCGCTCCGTAGCCAATGTGAGTAAGACCTTTAAACAGGTCAACATTCACAAGGCTGCAGGGCCAGACGGATTACCAGGACGTGTACTCCGAGCATGCACTGACCAACTGGCAAGTGTCTTCACTGACATTTTCAACCTGTCCCTGGCCGAGTCTGTAATACCAACATGTTTCAAGCAGACCACCATAGTGCCTGTGCCCAAGAACACTAGGGTAACCTGCCTAAATGACTACCGACCCGTAGCGCTCACGTCTGTAGCCATGAAGTGCTTTGAAAGGCTGGTCATGGCTCATATCAACACCATTATCTCAGAAACCCTAGACCCACCCCAATTTGCATATCGGCCCAACAGATCCACAGATGATGCAATCTCTATTGCGCTCCACACTGCCCTTTCACACACGGACAAAAGGAACACCTATGTGGAAATGCTATTCATTGACTACAGCTCAGCGTTCAACACCATAGTGCCCTCAAAACTCATCACTAAGCTAAGGACCCTGGGACTAAACACCTCCCTCTGCAACTGGATCCTGGACTTCCGGATGGGCCGCCCCCAGGTGGTAAGGGTAGGTAACAACACATCCGCCACGCTGATCTTCAACATGGGGGACCCTCAGGGGTGCGTGCTCAGTCCCCTCCTGTACTCCCTGTTCACTCATGACTGCATGGCCAGGCACGACTCCAATACCATCATTAAGTTTGCCGATGACACAACAGTGGTAGGCCTGATCACCGACAACGATGAGACAGCCTATAGGGAGGAGGTCAGAGACCTGGCCGTGCGGTGCTAGGACAACAACCTCTCCCTTAACGTGATCAAGACAATGGAGATGATTGTAGACTACAGGAAAAAGAAGAGGACTGAGCATGCCCCCATTCTCATTGATGGGGCTGTAGTGGAGCAGGTTGAGAGCTTCAAGTTCCTTGGTGTCCACATGACCAACAAACTAACATGGTCCAAGCACACCAAGACAGTCGTGAAGAGGGCACGACATAACCTAAGGAGACTGAAAAGATTTGGCATGCGTCCTCAGATCCTCAAAAGGTTCTTCAGCTATACCATTGAGAGCATCCTGACTGGTTGCATCACTGCCTGGTATGGCAACTGCTCGGCCTCCAACCGCAAGGCACTACAGAAGGTAGTGCGTACGGCCCAGTACATCACTGGGGCCAAGCTTCCTGCCATCCAGGACCTCTATACCAGGCGGTGTCAGAGGAAGGCCCTAAAAATTGTTGAACACTCCAGCCACCCTAGCCATAGACTGTTCTCTCTGCTACCGCACGGCAAGCGGTACCGGAGTGCCAAGTCTAGGTCCAAGAGGCTTCTAAACAGCTTCTACCCCTAAGCCATAAGACTCCTGAACATCTAATCAAATGGCTACCCAGACTATTTGCATTGCCCCCCCCCCCCCCACCCCATCAGGTCCAGTGATTCAGTGATTCCGGCAGAAAACCGATATGTTCTGGGTCGATAACGCGCTGTGCAGACAGTGCAGACTGGCCGAATAACAGTCCAGGCTAGAGCTGGCTGGTAGGTGGTGCAGGCCACGGACAATGGTGAAAAACCGCTAACGGACTATTTGCATTGCCCCCCCCCCCCCCCCCCCCCAACCCTCTTTTAAGCTGCTGCTACTCTCTGTTTGTTATCTATGCATCGTCACATTAATAACTCTACCTACATGACTCGGTACCCGTATCCCCTATATACAGTGAGAGAAAAAAGCATTTGATCCCCTGCTGATTTTGTACGTTTGCCCACTGACAAAGACATGATCAGTCTATAATTTTAATGGTAGGTTTATTTGAACAGTGAGAGACAGAATAACAACAACTAAAAAATTCTAGATAAATGGTAAGTCAATAATAGAATCCGTTCCACATTGAGTGAGGCGGGTTGCAGGAAAGTATATTTTGTAGAAGGATGAAAAGTCTGATAGGGAAATATGTACGAAAAAAAACAAAAAAAACAGGCTATTTACAGGCTATTTACAGACACACAACAAAATCACGACTGCACTGCTACGCCATCTTGGATTGGGCTGGTGCAAGATAACAACCAAAGCCCATCTAAGTCCGTTTATAACATATAGAGTTCATCATATTGACATTGGCCTCAGGCCCTATGGTGTAAACCTTGGAAAAGTGATTCCAATTTCTACTTTCTACTTCCTCTGGGCTATGCAGACGAATCCGGGCATTCTGATATTGACTGAAACTTCGATCTCTGGGGACATTCTGGACTCTGATATTAATATTGAGGGTTATAATGTGTTCAGAGCTGACAGACACGGTAGAGGTGGTGGAGTGGCCATTTTTATTAAAAATAATGTCTGTCTCTTTGCTGACATCCATGTCCATTTAGCTACTATCTTTAAGCCTTTGTCTGGGGAAAAATGTATCCATAACTGTTATAGGGGTCTACTGTCCTCCCTCGGATAACCTTTGTGCATTCGAGGAGTTAACTAGTTTGTTAAGTAAATGCGAAGTTACTAAACTTCTTATTAAATGAGATGTTATTATCCTGGGTGACCTAAATTATGATTGGGAAATGCAGGCTTCATACAATCTAAAGGACATGTGTAATGATCTGAACCTAACCCAGCTGGTGACTAAGCCTGCACGACCCAACCCTAGAGGTCCTTTAAAGTCAACTCTGATCTTATTTTGACGAATGCACCAAGTGAAATATGTTTCTACTGGTGTCTTCGCCCAAGACATTAGTGACCATTGTCCAGTTGTTTGTGATAGAGACGTGAGAATACAAACATCTAAGCCTCGTGTCGTCACAAAGAGGACTTCAGTGAACAGGCTTTTTTACATTATCTTTATTTTAGTGACCTTGATTGTATTTCAGCTATCCCTGAACCTGATTTAGCATTGAGCCCTTTTCAGATGTCTGCAATCATATTGTGGATAATCATGCTCCCTTCAAAAAATTAAGGGTTAAAGGTAGATCGAATACCTGGTACACTCTGGAATTATCAGAAGTCATTCATAAAAGAGATGATGCTTGGGTCAAGGCCAGGAACACAGGCTTAGGCCCGGACTGGCAAGCTTTTAACACTAGAACCGCTGGACGTCGATTTAATTGATCAAGTTAATGATCCTTCAAGTTAATGATCCTTCAAGTTAATGAGAAGTCATTCTGACTGCAACATTCTAACAGTGTAATTAATATATTTAATATATGCTATCACAAAAAAATAATCATTTGGTTGTGTTTATGAAGGCCTTGGGTAACATTAGAATACGATTTGTATTTTATTTCAAATAACACAATAGGATTTTCATTAGTTTATGTTACAGTAGGCTATATGTAAAAACAGAAAAATTCAAGTGTTCAACATTTTTTTTAGTGGAGTGCCTTTGTTACAACTATGAAACAGAAAGGAAATGAGTTGAAACACGGTAACATCTTATTTTTACGAAGAAAGAAATAAAGAAAAAATACCCCAACCACCAAGACACATTGTCAAAAGATGCGCGGTCAAAATATGATAACATCAGTAGCCTAAACATCATTATAAGTGCCAAGATAAATAGTGAAACTCAGCACAAATAAAGGCGTTATAATTAATATAAGTGTAGATATGACAGAAAATAGTCCATTATTGTCAGCTCGTCATCTTCAGGCAACGGCATCAGTTGGATTTAATTTAGCTGTTATCCCTTGTCCTAACAAATGCCATAATTTTTGGTAACTTTCACTTGCTTGACACACTTTGACGTACCTTTGTTTGGTTGTAGTGCATATTAGCCTCTGTTTTTCTCTTTATTGTGTCCAGTTGTCTTGTCATTCTTCAGGACCATTGTATTGTATCACAACCGCTGTGTGGGTGCCTTATTTTGCGCAGAGGGAGGGAGTTCCCGTCTCACTTTGTTCATGGTGCCGGCCAGACTTGTTTTCTTTGCAAGAAAATTGTTAGCCAATGACAGTGAAGTGAATAAATTGTCCATGGTGACATTTCTCCCCTTGCTAACGTAAGGTTCCACAAGCCTCCTCGCCACATTCTCCGACACCCGCGCCTGCTGCCCAATGTAGATATTTTGCCAGATATTGAAAGCCGTTCAGCATGTACAATTATGCATGCTCTCACTGTGTAGACTACTCCAAGTAGGCCAGAGTAGACTGATTACTGCTCTCACTGTGTAGACTACTCCAAGTAGGCCAGAGTAGACTGATTACTGCTCTCACTGTGTAGACTACTCCAAGTAGGCCAGAGTAGACTGATTACTGCTCTCACTGTGTAGCCTACTCCAAGTAGGCCAGAGTAGACTGATTACTGCTCTCACTGTGTAGACTACTCCAAGTAGGCCAGAGTAGACTGATTACTGCTCTCACTGTGTAGACTACTCCAAGTAGGCCAGAGTAGACTGATAAGACTGCTTTGATTCAGTAAACTGATATAGGTTAACGTACCATTTTAAGATTAGGCCTATAATTAGAATGTATCAATACAATAGAATGGCCCGTCTTGTTCTTCATTCACAATTGGTGATTACTTAATTCTGCATCGTTTGCTTCCCCTCGCTCATCAACTCACCCCTTCTGCCCCATCATACTTTACTTAATTTATTTCCTCTGTTGTTATATGTGTGAAATTAGTTTCGGTGTAGTTTAGGTTCAGTTTCGAGGCAATTGTCGGGGTGATTATCAGCTGGGCGCGGCATTTTCAACTGTCTGGAGAAAGAGCAGAGCAGTCCCTACTGTTGGGAGAAAGAGGGGCAACGAGGGGCAACCATTTTTAAAAATGACATGCCCTCCTAAAACTCATTATAACTCCAGTTCTGTTTGTGATATTAAGATTCTAACAACGACAGTGTAGGAAAAGTCAAGGACAGAGGGGGGCATAACTTTAAAAATGGCAGAGTCAAAAATTTAAATAATGAGCAGTCAAAAATGACTGCTTTAGCGGCGCTAGTGTTAAGCGACTGAGGAATTGTTGTGTAAGACAAATCAGAAAGGCTAAATCTGATTATTATGTAACCGCTCCTTTGGATTGTAATGGGAACCTGGCTAAATTCTGGAAAACTGTCAAATCTCTGAAGGGTTCTACTTCCTCCTCTCTGCCACAACAAATCAATTCAGACACTGGCTTCATTACGGAATAAATGCCATCATTGATGCATTTAATCACCATTTTATTTCAGCGGGCTACCTCTTTGAAAATAACTTCAATTCACAATGATATTGGGCTGGATGCTGATAGGGGAAACTTGCTGAATGATCAGAGAAATTATAGTCAAAGCTTTTCTTTTAGGCTATTTACAGAAAATAAGTCCTGGATGCTTTGCTAGCAATAGAAAACAAGAAATACACAGGGGCCGACCAATTGGATATCGGTCTGCTTAAGTGTACAGCACACATCATTGTAATAACTAAAAAAAAATATTTAACATTGTTATCAGGAAATATTTCAAAAGTATGTAAATCAGCTCTTGTGCTGCCACTACATAAGGGATAATACTGATCTTAATAATTATGGCCCATTTCAAGGCTTCCTTGTCTAGCTAAGATTCTAGAATCCTTGGTAAATGTACAACTTTGCTCTTTTTTTATCTGAGAAATTTATTTTTAATGTAAACCAATCAGGGTTTAGGCCTGGGCATACAGTCCATTCTGAAAGTATTCAGACCCCTTGACTTTTTCCACGTTTTGTTACGTTACAGCCTTATTCTAAAATGTATTAAATAAATTTTTTTCCCTCATCAATATGCACACAATACCCCATAATGAAAAAGGGAAAACAGGTTTTTAGAAATTTGTGCTAATTTATTATTATCATTATTTATTCAGACCCTAAAATTAATTTGCCTAAATTATATACAGTGGGGAAAAAAAGTATTTAGTCAGCCACCAATTGTGCAAGTTCTCCCACTTAAAAAGCTGAGAGAGGCCTGTCATTTTCATCATAGGTACACGTCAACTATGAAAGACAAAATGAGAATTTTTTTTCCAGAAAATCACATTATAGAATTTTTAATGAATTTATTTGCAAATTATGGTGGAAAATAAGTATTTGGTCAATAACAAAAGTTTCTCAATACTTTGTTATATACCCTTTGTTGGCAATGACACAGGTCAAACGTTTTATGTAAGTCTTCACAAGGTTTTCACACACTGTTGCTGGTATTTTGGCACATTCCTCCATGCAGATCTCCTCTAGAGCAGTGATGTTTTGGGGCTGTCGCTGGGCAACACGGACTTTCAACTCCCTCCAAAGATTTTCTATGGGGTTGAGATCTGGAGACTGGCTAGGCCACTCCAGGACCTTGAAATGCTTCTTACGAAGCCACTCATTCGTTGCCCGGGCGGTGTGTTTGGGATCATTGTCATGCTGAAAGACCCAGCCACGTTTCATCTTCAATGCCCTTGCTGATGGAAGGAGGTTTTCACTCAAAATCTCACGATACATGGCCCCATTCATTCTTTCCTTTAGACGGATCAGTCGTCCTGGTCCCTTTGCAGAAAAACAGCCCCAAAGCATGATGTTTCCACCCCCATGCTTCACAGTAGGTATGGTGTTCTTTGGATGCAACTCAGCATTCTTTGTCCTCCAAACACGACGAGTTGAGTTTTTACCAAAAAGTTCTATTTTGGTTTTATCTGACCATATGACATTCTCCCAATCCTCTTCTGGATCATCCAAATGCACTCTAGCAAACTTCAGACGGGCCTGGACATGTACTGGCTTAAGCAGGGGGACACGTCTTGCACTGCAGGATTTGAGTCCCTGGCAGCGTACTGATGGTAGGCTTTGTTACTTTGGTCCCAGCTCTCTGCAGGTCATTCACTAGGTCCCCCCGTGTGGTTCTGGGATTTTTGCTCACCGTTCTTGGAATCATTTTGACCCCACGGGGTGAGATCTTGCGTGGAGCCCCAGATCGAGGGAGATTATCAGTGGTCTTGTATGTCTTCCATTTCCTAATAATTGCTCCCACAGTTGATTTCTTCAAACCAAGCTGCTTACCTATTGCAGATTCAGTCTTCCCAGCCTGGTGCATGTCTACAATTTTGTTTCTGGTGTCCTTTGACAGCTCTTTGGTCTTGGCCATAGTGGAGTTTGGAGTGTGACTGTTTGAGGTTGTGGACAGGTGTCTTTTATACTGATAACAAGTTCAAACAGGTGCCATTAATACAGGTAACGAGTGGAGGACAGAGGAGCCTCTTAAAGAAGTCACAGGTCTGTGAGAGCCAGAAATCTTGCTTGTTTGTAGGTGACCAAATACTTATTTTCCACCATAATTTGCAAATAAATTCATTAAAAATCCTACAATGTGATTTTCTGGATTTTTTCTTCTCAATTTGTCTGTCATAGTTGACGTGTAGCTATGATGAAAATTACAGGCCTCTCTCATCTTTTTAAGTGGGAGAACTTGCACAATTGTTGGCTGACTAAATACCTTTTTTCCCCACTGTAATTAGAAAGAATTGCCTCCACCTTTCCATGGTCAGATTTTGCTTATAGGCTACTTTGAAGCAAGCTCATAATATGAAAGAAAGCATTCAGCTTTCAAACAAATAAGGATGTTTTAGCAAATTCATAACAATAAAAAAACATACCTTATTTACAGAAGTATTCAGTCCCTTTGCTACGAGACTCGAAAATTGAGCTCAGGTGCATCATGTTTCCATTGATCATCCTTGAGATGTTTCTACAACTTGATTGGAGTCCACCTGTGGTAAATTCAATTGATTGGACATTGATTTGGAAAGGCACACACCTGTCTATACAATGTCCCACAGTGCACAGTGCATGTCAGCGCAAAAACCAAGCCATGAGGTCGAAGGAATTGTCCGTAGAGCTCCGAGGCAGGATTGTGTCGAGGCACAGATATGGGGAAGGGTACCAAAAAATGTCTGCAGCATTGAAGGTCCCCAAGAACACGGTGGCCTCCATCATTCTTAAATGGAAGAAGTTTGGAACCACCAAGACTCTTCCTAGAGCTGGCCACCCGGCCAAACTGTGCAATCAGGGGAGAAGGGCCTTGTTTAGGGAGGTGACCAAGAACCCGATGGTCACTCTGACAGAGCTCCAGAGTTCCTCTGTGGAGATGGGAGAACCTTCCAGAAGGACAACCATCTCTGCAGCACTCCACCAATCAGGCCTTTATGGTAGAGTGGCCAGACGGACGCCACTCCTCAGTAAAAGGCACATGACAGTTTGCCAAAAGACACCTAAAGGACTCTCAGAGCATGAGAAACAAGATTCTCTGGTCTGATGAAACCAATATTGAACTCTTTGGCTTGAATACCAAGTGTCACAACTGGAGGAAACCTGGCACCATCCCTCCGATGAAACATGGTGGCGGCAGCATCATGCTGTGGGGATGTGTTTCAGCGGCAGGGACTGGGAGACTAGTCAGGATCGAGGGAAAGATGAATGGAGCAAAGTACAGCGAGATCCTTGATGAAAACCTGCTCCAGAGCGCTCAGGACCTCATACTGGGGCGAAGGTTCACCTTCCAACAGGACAACAACCCTAAGCACACAGCCAAGACAAATCAGGAGTGGCTTCGGGACAAGTCTGTGAATGTCCTTGAGTGGCCCAGCCAGAGCCCGGACTTGAACCCGATTGAACAGCTGTGCAGCCTGACTCCCCATCCAACCTGACAGAGCTTGAGAAGATATGCAGAGAAGAATGGGAGACACTCCCCAAATACAGGTATGCCAAGCTTGTAACGTCATACCCAGGAAGACTCAAGGCTGTAATCGCTGCCAAAGGTGCTTCAACAAAGTACTGAGTAAAAGGTTTGAATACTTATGTAAATGTCATATTTCCGTTGTAATTTTTTTTATGCATTTGCAAAAAAAAAAAAAAAAAACTGTTTTTGCTTATGGGGTATTGTGCATATATTGATGAGGAAAACAAACAATTTAATCCATTTTAGAATAAGGCTGTAACGTAACAAAATGTGGAAAAAGTCAAGTCTGTATATCTGACAGAACCAGGCTGAGTATCTTACCTATATCTGACAGAACCAGGCTGAGTATCTTACCTATATCTGACAGAACCAGGCTGAGTATCTTACCTATATCTGACAGAGCCAGGCTGAGTATCTTACCTATATCTGACAGAGCCAGGCTGAGTATCTTACCTATATCTGACAGAGCCAGGCTGAGTATCTTACCTATATCTGACAGAATCAGGCTGAGTATCTTACCTATATCTGACAGAGCCAGGCTGAGTATCTTACCTATATCTGACAGAACCAGGCTGAGTATCTTACCTACATCTGACAGAGCCAGGCTGAGTATCTTACCTATATCTGACAGAGCCAGGCTGAGTATCTTACCTATATCTGACAGAACCAGGCTGAGTATCTTACCTATATCTGACAGAGCCAGGCTGAGTATCTTACATATATCGGACAGAGCCAGGCTGAGTATCTTACCTATATCTGACAGAACCAGGCTGAGTATCTTACCTATATCTGACAGAGCCAGGCTGAGTATCTTACCTATATCTGACAGAGCCAGGCTGAGCATCTTACCTATATCTGACAGAGCCAGGCTGAGTATCTTACCTATATCTGACAGAACCAGGCTGAGCATCTTACTTATACCTGACAGAGCCAGGCTGAGTATCTTACCTATATCTGACATAACCAGGCTGAGTATCTTACCTATATCTGACAGAGCCAGGCTGAGTATCTTACATATATCTGACAGAGCCAGGCTGAGTATCTTACCTATATCTGACAGAACCAGGCTGAGTATCTTACCTATATCTGACAGAGCCAGGCTGAGTATCTTACCTATATCTGACAGAACCAGGCTGAATATCTTACCTATATCTGACAGAACCAGGCTGAGTATCTTACCTATATCTGACAGAGCCAGGCTGAGTATCTTACATATATCGGACAGAGCCAGGCTGAGTATCTTACCTATATCTGACAGAGCTAGGCTGAGTATCTTACCTATATCTGACAGAGCCAGGCTGAGTATCTTACCTATATTTATTGACAAGCCAGGCTGAGTATCTTACCTATATCTGACAGAGCCAGGCTGAGCATCTTACCTATATCTGACAGAGCCAGGCTGAGCATCTTACCTATATCTGACAGAGCCAGGCTGAGTATCTTACCTATATCTGACAGAACCAGGCTGAGTATCTTACCTATATCTGACAGAGCCAGGCTGAGTATCTTACCTATATCTGACAGAACCAGGCTGAGTATCTTACCTATATCTGACAGAACCAGGCTGAGTATCTTACCTATATCTGACAGAACCAGGCTGAGTATCTTACCTATATCTGACAGAACCAGGCTGAGTATCTTACCTATATCTGACAGAACCAGGCTGAGTATCTTACCTATATCTGACAGAGCCAGGCTGAGCATCTTACCTATATCTGACAGAGCCAGGCTGAGTATCTTACCTATATCTGACAGAACCAGGCTGAGCATCTTACCTATATCTGACAGAACCAGGCTGAGTATCTTACCTATATCTGACAGAACCAGGCTGAGTATCTTACCTATATCTGACAGAGCCAGGCTGAGTATCTTACCTATATCTGACAGAACCAGGCTGAGTATCTTACCTATATCTGACAGAGCCAGGCTGAGTATCTTACCTATATCTGACAGAACCAGGCTGAATATCTTACCTATATCTGACAGAGCCAGGCTGAGTATCTTACCTATATCTGACAGAACCAGGCTGAATATCTTACCTATATCTGACAGAGCCAGGCTGAGTATCTTACCTATATCTGACAGAACCAGGCTGAATATCTTACCTATATCTGACAGATCCAGGCTGAGTATCTTACCTATATCTGACATAGCCAGGCTGAGTAGCTTACCTATATTTGACACATTTTTTTGAAAATATCTGTTCCCCATTGGCCCTTTCTCCAAATTGTCCTATCTTTCTACTGTTTGCAGGACAACTTTCATCCCCTGTCAATCAAACGATGTCCAATTGAAGGAGCCCTGCCAGAAGCCTCACCATAGGAAGGAGAGAGAGTTATTCCATTGGCTGAGATGTGATTGGCTCCTAGAGTCAGTAAATCAAATCAAATCAAATCAAAATAAGGAGACCCTGTTGTGTGATTAGCACCTGTGATTCCCAAAGCATCAGAGGAGCACAGGGAGGGGAAGAATTAAGTGTAAATGTGTGTGTGTGTGTGTGTGTGTGTGACGAGTGTGTTGTGTGTGTGTGTGTGTGTGACGAGTGTGTGTGTGTGTGTGTGTGTGTGTGTGACGAGTGTGTGTGTGTGTGTGTGTGTGTGTGTGTGTGTGTGTGTGTTTGTAGGTAAGAATAACACAGTACAGGTGGAAAGACAGGTGTCCTGCAGGACAGGTAGAGAGCAGAGAAACACGTGAGGAGAGCGGGAGGGGGGTGTTATGATGAGCAGAGTGTAGACTAACAGGTCCTCAGGTGAGCTCTCCCTCCCCAGACTCAGCTTGTTGTTGACATGACAGGCAGGCAGGTTATATTAGGGGAAGGGTTAGCTAAAGGGGTTAGGGGAATGCTAAGTAGTTGCAAAGTAGCTAGTAAGTAGTTGATGTGAGGTTTTTATAGTGTTGTGGGAAACCAGGTTAGCGTTAGTAGGTAAGTGGCTTGGTGCCACAGTGTCTGCATTCCGTTATGTCAAAGGAGATTACTGATGTTGATCTTAGAATGATTGATGGACAGGATATACTGACTTGGGGTTAAGAGTAATGACATCAGAGAAGGGAGTGCCCACTGAGGGTTAACAGATGTTCGTGATGAAACGTGTGACAGAGTGCATATAAGCTGAGAGAATGTCTTTGTTCTGGAGTTGGAAATGGCAAGAGGCAGAGCCATGTCTTTTGTTATAATGAACCATGGTACCTATTAAATATGAATGAACTCCCCATCAAAAGTGTCTAAGTAAATCCTTATATCCTTAATTACTTGATAGCCGAGAAACTCATCATAACAGTAGTTGAAGAGTTGCTAAAATGCTGCAGTTGTCCGTGATGAGATTCGAACTCGCAACCTTTGGGACTTAGGTTAAAGGGTTAAGGTTAGGGTTAGGGGAAGGGTTAGCTAAAAGGGTTAGGGTTAGGGGAAGGGTTAGATAAAAGGGTTAGGATTAGAGGAAGGGTTAGCTAAAAGGGTTAGGGTTAGAGGAAGGGTTAGCTAAAAGGGTTAGGGTTAGAGGAAGGGTTAGCTAAAAGGGTTAGGGTTAGAGGAAGGGTTAGCTAAAAGGGTTAGGGTTAGAGGAAAGGTTAGCTAAAAGGGTTAGGGTTAGAGGAAGGGTTAGCTAAAAGGGTTAGGGTTAGAGGAAAGGTTAGCTAAAAGGGTTAGGGTTAGCGGAAGGGTTAGCTAAAAGGGTTAGGGTTAGGGGAAGGGTTAGCTAAAAGGGTTAGGTTTAGGGGAAGGGTTAGCTAAAAGGATTAGGGTTAGAGGAAGGGTTAGCTAAAAGTGTTAGGGTTAGAGGAAGGGTTAGCTAAAAGGGTTAGGGTTAGAGGAAGGGTTAGTGAAAAGGGTTAGGGTTAGAGGAAGGGTTCGCGAAAAGGGTTAGGGTTAGAGGAAGGGTTAGCGAAAAGGGTTAGGGTTAGAGGAAGGGTTAGCTAAAAGGGTTAGGGTTAGAGGAAGGGTTAGCGAAAAGGGTTAGGGTTAGAGGAAGGGTTAGCTAAAAGGGTTAGGGTTAGAGGAAGGGTTAGCTAAAAGGGTTAGGGTTAGAGGAAGGGTTAGCTAAAAGGGTTAAGGTTAAGGTTAGGTTTAGGGGAAGGCTTAGCTAACATGCTAAGTAGTTGCAAAGTAGCAAAAAAATTTGTAAGTACTTGAAAAGTTGCTAATTAGCTAAAATGCTAAAGTTGTCCGTGATACGATTCGAACTCGCAACCTTTTGGGTTGCTAGACGTTCACGTCCTGGGGGACTGCAGGTGGTTCTACAGGTGTTACTCCCAGGAGGTGCAGGGAGCCCATTACACACACTCCCATACAGACCATATCTCTAGCCTGGTTCCAGATCTGTTTCGGCTGTCTTGTCAACTCACATGGTCAAGCTGTGAAAATTACCACAGGAGTTTGTAAGACAGCACAAACAGATCTGGCACCAGACTACCATAGCTCCATACCAGGCCAATTCTTCCCATTTATTTTTAAATGAGGTGATGCAAGGAAACCATTAGACATGTGGACTACTAGGCGTTAACTCCCAGAGACCAACCATAGCTGTCACACCCTGGTTCTGGGACTCATTATTGTTGAGCCAGGGTGTGTGCAGTCTATGTGTTTATGTTCTATGTTGGGTGTCTAGGTTGTTGTTTTCTATGTTTGGTCAATGACTCCCAATCGGAGGTAACGAGTGTCAGCTGTCGGCTCGTTATCTCTGATTGGGAGCCATATTTATACTGTGTGTTTTCACCTTGGGGTTGTGGGTTTTTGTTCCAGGTTCAGTCATAGTCACTGTAGGACTTCACTATCGTCATTTGTTTGTTGTTTTCGTGGTTGCTTTTATTTAAATAAAGTCATCATGTTCACTCCACGCGCTGCGTATTGGTCCGTTTCCTCAGACGATCGTGACAGAAAAACCCACCATAGAAGGACCAAGCAGCGTGTCCAGGAGCAAGACAGCTGGACATGGGAGGAGGCGCCTGGTAAGGAGATCGAGAGGCTGGCGATGGCCCAGGTGGGCAAATCGTGGTCCTGGGAGGACATGCTCGGGGGCAAGGGACCTTGGGGGAAGATCAAGGCCCTGGCGAGAGAGGAGCAACGGCGTCAGCAGGGCCATCATCGTTGGAAGGACGAGAGGCAACCCCAAAAGGTTTTTTGGGGGGGGCACATGGCTTGGACGACGGGGCTAACGGAGGCAGAGAAGGGGCGAATTCAAGAGGCCACCAGGTTACGGGGGCTACTGGTTAAAGGAGGGAAAGGAGATGTAGAGGCACGGCGTGAGAGACTGAGGTGTGTATCCAGTCCGGTCCGGCCCGTTCCAGTTCCCGGGGTAGAGCCAGTGGTGTGTGTCCCCAGTACGGTCCGGCCTGGTACGGCCCCTCGCACCAAAGGGACGGTGCGCGTCTCCAGCCCGGTCCGACCTGTTCCTGCCTCTCGCACAAGGCCTACGGTGTGCGTTGCCAGCCCAGCCCGGCCTGTTCCTGCTCCACGCACAGAACCTACGGTGTGCGTCGCCAGCCCAGCCCGGCCAGTTCCTGCTCCACGTACTAAGCCTACGGTGTACGTCGCCAGCCCGACCCGGCCTGTTCCTGCCACTCGCACCAAACCTACGGTGCGCGTCGCCAGCCCGGTCCGGCCTGTTCCTGCCACCCGCACCAAGTCTACGGTGCGCGTCGCCAGCCCGACCCGGCCTGTTCCTGCCACCCGCACCAAGTCTACGGTGCGCGTCGCCAGCCCGACCCGGCCTGTTCCTGCCACTCGCACCAAACTGACGGTGCGCGTCGCCAGCCCGGTCCGGCCTGTTCCTGCCACCCGCACCAAGTCTACGGTGCGCGTCGCCAGCCCGACCCCGCCTGTTCCTGCCACTCGCACCAAACTGACGGTGCGCGTCGCCAGCCCGGTCCGGCCTGTTCCTTCTCCCCGCACTAGCCCTGAGATGCGTGTCCTCAGCACGGGACCACCAGTTCCGGCACCACGCACCAGGCCTATAGTGCGCCTCAGACGGCTAGAGTCTGCCGTCTGCCCAACGGGGCCTGAACTGCCTGTCTGCCCAACGCCGTCTGAACTGTCCGTCTGCCAAGCGCTGCATAAGCCGCCCGTCGGCCATGAGCCTTCAGAGCCGTCCGCCAGACCGGAGCCGCTAAAGCCTTCCGCCAGACAGGATCAGCCAGAGCCTTCCGCCAGACAGGATCAGCCAGAGCCTTCCGCCAGACAGGATCAGCCAGAGCCTTCAGCCAGCCAGGATTTGCCATTCAGTCCGGTGCTGCTCTTTAGTCCGGTGCTGCCCCTTAGTCCGGTGCTGCCCCTTAGTCCGGTGCTGTCCCTTAGTCCGGTGCTGCCCCTTAGCCTGGTGCTGCCCCTTAGTCCGGTGCTGGCCCTTAATCTAGTGGGGTTAAGGTGGAGGGTGGTCATTTGGAGGAGGCTACGTAAGCGGGTAGTGACTATGGTGGGGTGGTGGTCTAGGCCGGAGCCAGAACCGCCACCGAGGAGGTATGCCCGCCCAGCCCTCCCCTGTTTGGGGGTTTTGAGGCGCGGTCGCAGTCCGCGCCTTTAGGGGGGGGTACTGTCACACCCTGGTTCTGGGACTCATTATTGTTGAGCCAGGGTGTGTGCAGTCTATGTGTTTATGTTCTATGTTGGGTGTCTAGGTTGTTGTTTTCTATGTTTGGTCAATGACTCCCAATCGGAGGTAACGAGTGTCAGCTGTCGGCTCGTTATCTCTGATTGGGAGCCATATTTATACTGTGTGTTTTCACCTTGGGGTTGTGGGTTTTTGTTCCAGGTTCAGTCATAGTCACTGTAGGACTTCACTATCGTCATTTGTTTGTTGTTTTCGTGGTTGCTTTTATTTTAATAAAGTCATCATGTTCACTCCACGCGCTGCGTATTGGTCCGTTTCCTCAGACGATCGTGACAATAGCTCTATACCACTGCCATGTGTTATCCTAATGTAAAGTCCCAGTAGATAATCCTGACTGATCATGGTAGATAATATAATTGTTTTGGACACATAAGACATTCCTGATATGATGTGAGCTATAAATGTAGTTCATATTTTGGTATTGCAACACAGAAGAGTAACAGGTATCCAATTTATTTTTGATATAGCGGATCTTTACCAGAGCTTTACTGGATCTTTATTGGATATTTACCGGATCTTGTAAGACTTGAGGGTTAAAGTGTTGGGGTCATACTGCCATCCATGTTAATCCATTAAAAGGGAGTGTTGGGGTCATACTGCCATCCATGTTAATCCATTAAAAGGGAGTGATGGGGTCATGCTGCCATCCATGTTAATTGAGGTGGATTTTTTAGTGGACTATGAGATAAAACGGAGTTAATCACGAACATATAGTTAGAATTCTCTGTTGCTAGGCAAGAACTTAATTGGGATCTGACCTAGGGTCAAATTGCTCGCTCCAAATTGCTCGCTCCTTACCTAATCCATGGCTGTCTTACCTTATCAGAGACTGAAACCAGAATGTTGCCTAATGCATCTCTCCTCAGTGAACCTGTCATGTCCAACAATCAATCTTCAGGTCAAGCTCGGGAGAGCTGGTGTTGAACAGAGTTTAAAATAAACATGAGTGTTTTTGCAAGATAAGGGATTGATTGATTGTATTACTATTGATTCTGAACTGAATAAAAGTTGAATTTAGCCGCCATCATAGACAAAGGAAGTGGGCGGAGCGATAGAGAGCGGGAAACTGAAGAGGAAGGGGTTTTGAGCTACAAGGGATGAGAATTGTCTAAGGCACTGCATCTCAGTGCTCGAGGCGTCACTACAGACCCCTTGGTTCGATTCCAGGCTGTATCACAACCGGCCGTGATTGGGAGTCCCATAGGGCAGCGCACTATTGGCCCAGCGTCGTCCGGGTTTGGCCGGTGTAGGCCGTCATTGTAAATAAGAATTTGTTCTTAACTGACTTGCCTAGTTAAATAAAGGTTAAATAAAAAAATAAAAAATGGGACTATATACAGTGGGGAAAAAAAGTATTTAGTCAGCCACCAATTGTGCAAGTTCTCCCACTTAAAAAGATGAGAGAGGCCTGTAATTTTCATCATAGGTACACATCAACTATGACAGACAAATTGAGAAAAAAAATCCAGAAAATCACATTGTATGATTTTTAATGAATTTTATTTGCAGATTATGGTGGAAAATAAGTTTTTAAGTGGGAGAACTTGCACAATTGGTGGCTGACTAAATACTTTTTTCCCCCACTGTAGATGGGGAGCAGAGAGAGAGAAGGGGGCTACTCTGCAGACCAGCCTGACTTTGTTGAATTGTAATAAAGTCAATCTTGATTCTACAAAAACTCTGGAAGAACTTTGATTTTTAATAAAGTATAGTGATTATTTTCCACATCATAATTGCCGCCCAACGTGGGGCTGGAAAGAGATTGTTGAGTGCTTTGCCATCAGAGGAGGTTTGGATTAATCACACAGATACAGTGGCCACTGTTAAATAAAGGTAAGCGACGTTCTTACTTTTAGCATAAAAAAGCTGTGTGTTTCGATCAAGCTGAATCTGAGGGTAAAGTACGGAAGGGATCTCTCTAGCATTAAGGACTAAATTTAGGAAACGTACAGAGTTTTTGTTGGAATGAGAAATAAGCATGCATGCAAAGTTATATACAATAAGTGTAAATAAGTTAAATCCTACGTATACCGCTTTGGAGAGCTAAAATTAGCACTCCAGAGGGCTGCTCAGGGGTAGGTGGCTAGCCAAGAGTCCCCTACGGTTACCGCTCTAACGTGTTTATCATTGTTAGAGGCTGCTCGGGGGTAGGTGGTACATACATTATTAAAACGGCCTACGGTTACGACTCTAACGGGTTTATCATTGTTTGAGGCTGCTCAGGGGTAGGTGACACATCATCCTGTGGTGTGGAGATGCACTAATTAGACAGGGCCAATCGGGTAAAAAAAAAGTAGGGTCATCCTGAGTAGGTGACACCATAAATTGGAAGTAGCGCCGGTCATCTCAGGTAGGTGGACGGTTGTGAACAGCCACCAGGGCTTCAAAGTATAGAGAAATAATTAGATAGAGTAGGTCTGCTCATCTCGTACGGGTGAATGGTTTGCTTGAGCGGCTGTGAGTCATTCAGTGATTTAAGGTGTATGTTTCATCTGTCTCATTCCTCATTCAGGTTTTTGTTCAATCGTCTGATACATTTGTCCGTCCTGCTGGTCATTCTGTCTGATTCATTTAAGCATGAGTGGTTGCTTATCTGTGTGAGTGATCAGACAATAATAAGAAATCTGGCAAATAATAGCCTTTTCTGTGTGGTGGGAGTGTCAGGATA